AAGATAGTCTATCAGAAAAAAATATCTTAATGGACTAAACCATTATATACGTCAGCACTGGCAATTAGTGAGTCAGCTAATCTGGTGGAGGTGTTTGAAAATGAGCACCGTTGGCCTCGTGGCACAGTTCGACCCTTGGAAGCCGAAGATCGTCTGAATATTATTTATGAATTCAGTCCGTACCGCGAAGAAAACACTACACCTCACCATTACGAAAATCAGCTGGTTAACCCTTGGAAGCCGAAGATCGTCTGAATATTATTTATGAATTCAGTCCGTACCGCGAAGAAAACACTACACCTCACCATTACGAAAATCAGCTGGAGCTTTATAACTTGCAATCTGAGACGGGGCTTAGACCAAGCACCACACAAATTATAACGGCTAGATTCTCAGTTGTTTTCCTGTATAAATCATAAACAAGATGGCTGACACCCCATTTTCTCAAACGAATATAATGTAGCACTTCAAATTGGTCCGGTCGTAGCCTATTTTAAAAGTTTCTAAGCTCGTGTTTCTTAACCGATTAATCTAGAAATGAATACCTATCATAAAAAAAAACTGATTATTATGCGGGCGATTAATTTTAACAGCGTTAATCATATTATTGACTGTCGTGAAAGCAGTTAACCACAGGATGTATTAATTTTCACATACGTTATTTATTTTATTGGTATTTTTAATGATATATTTACACCCATCAGTACGTTATTTTAAATTTTCTAACAAAATACTAATAGAATATGATCATTTTTAAAAAAATATATCCGTATCATTACACGAAAGCTCGTTATATAGCTTTAAATGGCTTCCTAGATTCTCCTTGTGACGCTTACGACTAGAAACAAGACTTCGATGCCTTACGTAGAGTTTAAACATCGTGTTTTCACTGGCTGGAACTTTATTAATGGCCACACTCGTCACTTTAAACTACAATTGGTTCCAAAGTAACTCAGTCTTGCTTAAAAAATTCGGTAGATAACCCACCTGGTTAATAATTTCCAAAGAATGAAGTAATCTGTCCACAATAATTCACCAGAGAGTCGTCCCTCAAAAATACGACACCAACATATCTCCTGTAGTAGCAAAGCTCGTTTTAAAGAAATGTCCACCTTTAAAGTCTTCAGCCTCTCGTAACAAACTCCTCTTACCTATGACAACACAGACACTGCAGTCGAGATTACGTGCGAACTACTGCTGAGTACGGAGTGCGATGTCTCTCACAACAGCTGACCACTGTCTACGAGCTCTCGAACCTGACACGCAAGCGACCTTAATCGATTTTGTTATTAATGAGAATCGATACAATGTTAACGAACAACTCTTTTGTTTTGTTTTTTCCCACGGGAATCTGGAGACCGGAGAAAATGTCGGCTGATTATGAAATTTATCTTATTATAGCTACAGTTGTTGAAACGTTAGCTTTCGCTAATTTTGCAAAACGTGTTCCTGGATATGGTGACCTCTGAGTTTAAACCTGCGAAACGGGATTGAAGGATAACACGTGATATGTAATCTTGTCGCTAAATATACTTTTAAAACTTGTATGCTTAAACAAAACTTACCAATGCTTTTTAACTTTGCGCTAGAATATGCCACCAGGAAAGTCCAAGGTAGGCAGGAGGGTTTGCAATTGAACGGGACACATCGACTATTGGCATTTGCTGATGGTGTTAATTTATCGGGGGACGATATAAATACAATAAAGAGGAACGCAGAAGTTTTACTAGAGGCTGGTAGACAAGTGGGGCTGGAAGTAAACTCAGAAAAACTAAGTACATGTTAGTATCTCGTCA